CACATACACCCCGCGAAAAATCGAAATCTTTGGTTGCAAAATCGAGTTTTTTTAAAAAAAAATCTACTTTTTCGCGATTTTCAAAATGTTCTGATTGGTTTTGATTGATTTTGAATCGCTGAATTCGAAAATATTATCCGTTTTTGGATAAATCCACACACCTCTACGAAAAATCAAAATCATTGGTTGCAAATTCAAAATTTTACTAATGAAATGAACATTTTTTTCGCAATTTTCAAAATGTTATGAACGGTACTGCCCGTACGACCAACTTGACGTTTGAAAAATTGCCAACTTTGAAGCTGATTTTAGCTATGAAGCCGTCGATAAATTTGTATTTTTTTGATTTGGTATAAAGATTGTACTTGTTGTGCTTACTAGGAGCAGTGCTGGTGGCTCGCTCGCCGAAGAGAGTGGGGAGTGGGAGGTGGGAGGTAAAAAAAAAAACTCTCCTAAATCCTATACAGCGATTTCACTTTCCGGTTCAGCGTTGAAACTTTTTTATGTTCTTAGTGTTCCCTCACACCAATTCCCAAAGCTAACACTCGAATGAAATGAAGTCCACTTTCGTATTTTTACAACGAGAAAAAATTACGGGACTTAGTTAAAATTTTCTCGTTTAGAAATTTTCAATGTGGGTCTCATTCATTCGAATGTTGGCTTTGGAATGATATAGCATGCATAAATAACTCGTCTGTCTTAATCGAAAACGTTTCAAAAAATTTGGAATTATTTAATTAATCAATGAAATGAAATTATATTAATCGAATCAAAATTGTTTATATGACTTGATAAAACATGTGAAATCTTTACAATTAAACGAGACAAAAACAAATGTAGTTGACTTGAATAATATACAAATTATTGGAAAAAGCCATAAAAGAAATTCAATAAAACTTGTAAAATAAAATAATAAAAAATGTTCAAAAACTTGAACATTAAAAACTTCAAAAATGTTTAAAGCTGATTGTCATCCTTTAAAAATTGAGTTAAATAATTTTTACAACTTGAATCGAATAATATATTATTACAAGTTTATAAACTTGTAATAAACTTCAAAACTTTTATTGCATGTCCTGATCAAAATTGTTTTTAGCTGATAAAAATCTATAATTTAGCTATGCAGCGATATGATTGAATAAATTTAAAATAGAATTACGATTTTGGTGAATCATATTGAGTATTTTAAAAATTTTGATCAAAACCAATAATCGTGTTATCAGAAATAAGCATGTTCATGCAGTCAATACCGCTACAGGGAAAACACATGATTCTTGATACTAGAAATATCAATTACAAATACAAATATTTTTTCAAACAATTCTGAATTCCACACAAAATCTGCTCATAGTGTTATTTATAGAACAGAAGAATTTCTGGTGGAATATTATTATGGAATTGTGATAATATAAATTACTTTCAATGTCTTTGATACATAAGAACAATATAATTTTTTTTCTTTTATATATATTTAAAACAAGTGTAAAATAAATAAACAAACTGAATCAACATGTTTTCCCCATAGCAAATTAAATAAGAACATAGTCTTTTACACATATGTCTGCCTAATTAATTCTTAAAATCTATTATTCGCATAATAGTTGTATTTGAATAAACAAAAAATAGATTGTATTACATGCATTGAAACAAGCAACAAAATAATAAAGTATGCCTTACTAATGATATTGACTCAAATATAATAATATAAATAATATTTTCAGCAGATATGTGTATATAACTATATATGTGTATATTAATAATGCTCGAGCCAGAAAGTATTTCACTAAAATATATACAGGCTGCTTTATAAATGACATCGGATAAGAAAGGGACAAGTTCTCAAAGCACCTTCCAATTAATTTCTTTTAATATGAAAAACAAGCATAAAATACATAATTAATAAGAAATATTATTATTACAAACATAAAAAGTAGCAAGTAATACAAACTCGGTCATTAATTGTAAACCTCTTCCAGAAAATAAATTATGAGTAATATCTTTTTATTTATATCTATTCAAATTATAGTTTCACTGAAGATGACAAACAATATTTTGTCAAACAGTAAAGATTTTCATTATTCTTTGATATGTATTTGGTGAAACTGCTTCAAAGTCTTTCCTAAATCTAAAATTTAAAAATAACTTCACACACATATACACATACATACAAATATTTAGAACAATAAAAGTGCATTAGATGTAGAACAATAAATGCCTGTATATAATATCAGAAATATATTCTTTGACTCACTTCATATAAAACATGCTTTGCACTCACATTGTTAAAAATCCTTTGCAGCAGCTCTCAGAACACAAAACCAATACAGGAACCACCTCCGGAGCATCTGCCAGAAATCTCAAGTACTCGACACAAAATCACTATGTTAGAACCACTGCATACCTTTGACTTTTACATGTCTATTCGACATTTTGCAATTGTCCCGACTTATATGAAAGACTTTTGTGAACTTGAAATGCAACTTGAATGGATATGGAGTGAAACGCTCAAGTATAATCTACAACAACATGCACATATAAATTATACATCTCAATATTGCATATATATATATATATATATATATATATATATATATATATAATAAATAAAGGATACAGGGGCTGTAAATAAAATGTTTCATTAAAAAAATGATTCAAAATGGGGGCCCTAAAAGAGATAATCATGACAAATCAAAGTACTCCTGAGCACTTCCACACATATCAATTATTTTAGCTTTTTATGAACGTTTTACGATGAATTTTTTTAAAACAGGTTGTTCTACAAAATTCATTAAACACTTTGATGCACAAATTCATTAAATCTAATCAAGAATTTAATTAAAAACTCTTAATTAACGCGACCGCATGCTTATTCACAATTTTTTTTTGACATTTGAAGAGAATGAATTTAGCAAAATGACCACCGCCAGCACTTGCACTATTCAAAGCGCCAAATTCAAACAGAACATTTAAAATTTGCAAAATTCATTCATTCATAAAATATGTTCAAAATGAATAAATTTGCTTAAAAATATAAAATTTTTTAGTTAAAACTGTTTTATGAAATTATTTTAGCTTATAAGTGTTTGATTTAGATTATTATTATATTTAAAACAAACTGAAAATAATATTCTAAATTATAAACCATAAAATTTATGATTAGGCATCTGTCGTGGCCGAGATGGTTAGGTCGTAGGATCTGTTGTAAAAGGAAGCTCGAAAGGCAGTTCGAATCCGCAAAACAACATGTTTGTTTAAGAAAAATGAGGCAAATTCCTTTTCGAAAATATCTAATTTTTCGGGTTCTTCATTGTGTTTAGCTCTTGTTACTGTACATTTTGTTCAAACTGAAAACTATGTTACCAATCTATGAACATTTAGGTTTTACTCTGTTTAATTTTTTCGTAAATATTAATAAAATAAATGAACAGCAGAACAGGTGAGCTGTGCCTTGGTTGAACAAGTGTCTTTAATAGTAAAAAAAAATTATATTATAAATGTTAGATATGTTACTTATAAATATCAAACATGTTACAATAACAATTGTTATAAATATTATTATTAACATTAACACTGTGCCAAATTCAATTAATAGCCTATCAACGATGGCATGGTCGAGATCATTAAATTGCTTCAATGTCCGGTGTTGGGTTTCGAGTTCGAATCCCCAAGCAATTCGTTAAAACAGTAATTTTATTAGATCCATAAAACCTGTTTGGACAAAAGTCTTTCCCAAAAAAAGTTTCTTAATCATCGAACAGCCGAGATTGTAAGGAGACCAACACGGTCAACCACGAGTCGATGTTCTGATATTCCTCGCATCAATTCCTGAAAGCGCACGCAATTTTTCTTCCAAAATTACTTTTAAAACTAAATTAAGGTGCCGGTGCCGCTATTCGACCTTGATACAATTTCGTAAAAAGAACTACACTTGATTGTAATAAATATAAATAGAAAGGCTGTGGGTTGAAAGTAAGAGACGTATGTACCCCAGTAAATACATCTGAGCTGGAGATGTTTTTAATGCAAGGCCACGTTCACAACGTGCGATTAATATGAGCTGTATATGAGTCGGATTAGATTTACATGAATTTTCCATATTGCTAAATGTGGGATGAATATGAGCTATATATTAGACGCTGATTATATGTTTTACATATGATTTTTCCATATTGCTGAATGTGGGTGATATATGAGACACTGAATATGAGTTTTACATAGTTTATTCATATTACTGAATATAGGCTGTATATGAGAGCAATATAGGGGACTTGTATATTATTTAATTTTATTATATACACGACCATGCGCTTCGCAGGCATAGTATTATCCACCATTCACGGATTAAATGATCTGATTAAAATTAAATATTTTTTCAATTTCTTCAGGACTAACTTAATTATTTTATTCAGTTGAATTTCATTGTCCCCTACTCACAATAATAAAAAAATTCAATATATGTATACAAAATATGTAAAAATATATAAAATTTCAAACTATTTTCTTTTCGATTCCCTTTTACGCGGTTTGAAAAACTGTGCAAAAATAGGTTTTACTGTATTTAATAATTATAATTTCTATATTTGAATATAGCCATGTTTCATAACTATAGCATTCCCAATTCTCATTTTACCCTATTGTGAATGTATGAAGCAGGGGCGGTGTAACCTGGTCATAATATTTTGTAATGGATGATTGAAATAATTCTGTATATTGATTTCATAAAACAATTTATATTTCCTCGATACTCATCAAAATTTCTATTATTCAATAATTCTATTATTGATAGTAGAAATTAATAACATAATTTAGATAACTAATTAATTTCACTAATCAATAAAATACTATTAATTGACATTGATAAATAAGTAAATATTAAATATAATGTTATGAATTAGGAAACTTATATTACTGTATAAAGCCGATTGGCGTATAAATAAATAAATAAATATATTATTTATGTAAATTGGTCTAACTATTGAGTCGTTCATTATATAATAATATATCATCATCTAGTAATCTTATAATCGGGAATACATCACAAATTTCAGAATCTCGAAGAATATTGATAGTCTTCAAACATACTTGCAAAATATGTTCATCTGTCTGCTCGTTTAAAATGCGTGAAAGTAAACTAACGAGATCTTCCAGAAACTGAAATAGTATTAATTTGAATATATTTGTTATGTAATAAATTAGAGTTTTTCATTAAAAGAAAAATCAACCTTTGTTTATATTATTTGTTTGCTGAAAGAAGACACTTATCAAGTATCAGAACGTTTAAATAAAGAATCATCAACATTAAAAGCCCAGTCAAAATAAACAGTCTTAACTACAAATAATACTACAGATGCTGATTATCTCATTATAAATAAAATATTAAAAGTCCTACTCGATCCGACATCTGCGATTTTTTTCATTCAAGATTGAAGGTACAAAATTCAGATTATCCCAATTCTCCGCGAAAACCACGAAAAATATGAAAAAAAAGTTAGGAAAATTTGTTTATTATAAATTCTGTACAAAACTGTTGTTATACTTTTTAATTTCCCGTAGGGTATTTATATAGTAATGGCCCATTACTATGCATTACTAATGGGCCGAAAATCGAAAATGAATTTTTTGCATTTCTCGACGTTTTGAAGGTTTCTGAACATTTTGGCATACCTCAGAAAAAATTGATGTGTGTGTGTGTTTTGTGTGTTCGCATTTTTTCGTTCACGTTTTCGGGCGCACAGATAAACCGATTTGAATGGTTTAAAAAACATTCGATTCCTATTTATAGGGTGATGTTTTGGCAAAGTCAGGTCCAGCCGTCACGGAGATAAATAGCAAAGAGTGCAAAAAATAGAAATCGAGTTTTTGAAAGAACAAATATTAGACAAATGTTACAGCATTTATATAATCTATTTGAAAATAATTAATATTCCTCGAACATTTCGTTACGGTACGGGAAGTTACAGCAATTTGCCTTGAGGCACGATGCCATACACCACTAGTTTCCGTTAGAATCATATTTTCTGAGATATTGTCTTTTGAGAAGTAGAAAAATTCATATACTTCATAATATACCAATGCAAATATAAATAAATACACCTATCCCCCGTTTTACCCAAAAACCGTGTAACTCAAAAACCTCACTTTTTATGGAAAAACCGCGCTAAACGAAAATGACCTTTGTGTCAGTTATTAATATTAGGAATAACAAATACATTAAACAAAAAATAAATATAAACATATTTAATAATTTATACGAAAATTAATTTATTTCAATAATAAAACCATAGATAAAAAATTAAAATTGGTTTAAAATTCTTTTACTTCATAGTTTTTTATTTTACCTTTTTCCATTGAAACAATATTTTTTTTATAAATTGAAGATTATGCAAAATTCTTTAATTTCCTCATATTGATTAAATTTATCTATCTATCTATATATCATTTATATAAAAACAATTATGCTCTTTGTTTTGATATTTCAAACAAACGAGCATATATACATACAAAATTTAGTTTGGATCATAAAACATTCCCATCTCATCTACATATTTTCATCATAGATTACTAAGAATTCGTAACTGTAACATATATTTTGTAATGTTTTTTGACAGTAAAACAATTAAAATGTTATTGTAGATATAAACAAATTATAGTTCAGTGTTTATAGTTTCGTGTAAATGCTAAATTAATAAACTCTGATAATTTTTTTTTTGTCAAAAACTGAACTAAAACCAGAATCTTTCAACCTCGAATTTTTGTAACTTTAACCTCGAATGAAAAAAAATCGCAGATGTCGGATTGATCGAAAACTCGACTTTTTTAGATTTATTTGGACTGGGCTATAATACATTTTTTAGTATTGGCTGCTGTTTATATCAAATATGTCTGAATGTTGGAAAAACATTCAAGATATATATCAAGATTCTTTCATGGTCATTGAATTATATTAAATGCAAATTAAATGTGCAAATTTTTAGAAACAAAATATTAAATACTCACAGACACATTATTTTTATATAGCATATAATTGAAATATTGAGGTATTTCCAAAACCATCATTACACATTTTGAATTAACCTGAAACATTCTTTCGATAATGGGACAAATAATGTCATACAATGTTTCAGTTACCAAGTCCATCTTTAGTCGAATTTCGAGCAAATCAAGTTCAGTGAATTCCTGTGAATATGTGCTTCTTATTAGAAATATCAATATATGCATATAAAAGGTTATGGATGAAAAACAATAAAAATCCTTTTTTTCATTAATGTTTAACTTCGCCGTCTAATTTAAAATAAAAATTGATGATTCATTTCAACACAATGACATTTATATAAATTATATAATTATATAACAATATGTTTCAACATCAAGAGGCCTGATATATGCCTACCTTCATCTTCAAGGTATGCCTCAGACACTGTCCAGTAGAAGCTTCTCGTATATATTGAAGATGTATTTCCAATAATGTTTCGATTAGCGTTATCTTTGCCTGAATAAAATTAGGAATAAACTCGATATTAATCAATTAACAAGATTAAATAAAAGCTATAAATAATTCATAACTAATTCGATCAATATTCGAACAAGTAAATTAAAACTCCCCAAAAAAAATTAACTTATTCAAATTAACTATTCAATTAAATTAACTATTCAAATTAAAAATTATAAAAATTTAATTTGTTTATATATAGTTAGGATTTTTTTCTTATTTTATTTTCAGGATGAAAATTTTTAATGAACATAAAATTTCATATCATTTTGACGTTACAAGCAAACTTGAAAAGGAAAACACGGCTGAGACGGAAGAAAGTAGTTAGGCGAAAAAAAAAAAAACAACAGGAAAACTCAGTATCATGTGATTCGTAATTTATTTTTAAAATCATAGTTAAAAGATGCCTTTATATGCGTATAAATTTTTGTATCAATAGATTGAATAAGTTTTCTCATTTTTTTTTTAAAATCCCACTGGAATTTAAATACCACTGGAAATTTGAATAGAAAGTAATAACACACAATAGGCACATAACTATGAAGTATTCAAGCAAAATACTATAAAAAAGCAAATAGTAACCTGTTCAGAAAACTCCACTTTCAACATTTCAACTGCCTCTCTCGAAATAAAATCTCTGATGTCATAAGAATAATTTAGCATTTCTATTAATAAATCCACCATTTTTCTGTAATCCTTAGTTGAAATTTCACTCCAAATCGCATCCACAAACAAATCAGTGTCCCTGTCTACATTCTTAAAAATATATAATATAACTATAAAAGCCTATATATAAAACCGCTGAAATTGATTTGTTTTGAAATAAATGTTTAACAAGGTATATAACTTTTTAGACACATAATAGTGATAATGATAATGCCAAGTCATAAGTAAGTAATTATAATTTGCAACAAAGCACTATTTGACAGTAGTCACTAATATATATATATATATATATATATATATATATATATATATATATATATATATACGAGGTGTGTTCAAAAAGTACCCGGAATTACTAATAATTAAATTTCGCGGGTCTGGAGTGTCTGATTGTCAAAATTTTTTTTTATTGTGTTGGTATACATGCCCCTAAAGTATGATGAAATTTTCAGCTATATTCACTGTTTACTTTGTCTGTGGTAGTCGCTAAGGTTCGACGTGTTTTTCTGAGCTCGGCGATTTTTACAATGGAAGAATTGAAAAGTCAAAGAATTTGTATTAAATTTTGCGTAAAAAATGAAATAAAGTGTTGCAAAGTGCAAAAATTCACCAGATATGGCTCCGTGTGACTTTTTCCTATTCCCAAAGTTGAAGAGACCCATGAAAGGACGGCGGTTCTCCTCGATTGAAGAAATAGAGGCCGAATCGCTGAGAGTGCTCAAGGACATATCAAAAAGTGAATATCAAGGGTGCTTCGAAAATTGGAAAAAACGCTGGCATAAGTGTATTATATCTGGGGGGGACTACTTTGAAGGGGACCACATTAATGTAGACGAATAAATAAATATTTTTTTGAAAAAACGAAAATTCCGGGTACTTTTTGAACAGACCTCGTATATATTTAAATATGTAGACATCAGGACTTTTGATTAAAACATTGCCATAAAATTTTGCACTTATCTGCTAATTGTGAAAAACCGTATAAGCCGATCGTCGTAAAAAATTAATTAACTCGAATTCTATATGATGGTTAAATATGGACAAATTTTGCTTACATCACCAAAGCACTGATCATTTTTCCAACCTTTGATAAAGTTTTAAAATCAAACTACTTATCATAGACCCGTAATATTTAAATAACAAAAAGATAGAATTAAGTTAAATTGTAAAAATAAAACAGAAATCAATATTTACCTTATGTTCCAATAAAAATAAAATTAGATACTGAATATAAAAAATATCATATTCCTGTGTTATATAAAACCAAAACAAAGAACCTGCGGCTCTTGCAACTTTTTGATGCAAATGAAAAACTAACTTAAAAACTGATTGCAATTGTTTTTGTGAAAAACTATCAGGAAACATCCTAAAATTAAAAGTTTAAAACAGTCATTGAAATAAATAATTTAAAAATACATTATTTATTTTAAACATTTTTATTAATAGTTAATAAAAACTTTGAATAAAATTTAACATGTGATTTCCAATAAATTATTTAACAAACAAGCTAGTTTTATAACATTTAGTATTGGAGCACACAAATTCAAGAATTTAAGTTTTTTAGTTAACTATTATGGCATCAAAAAAATGTTTCACTTGTTTAATTAATTTTAACATTTTAGTGCTAGTTTAATTTTGAAAATTTTGTGTTGAATTTCAATTTGTGGATGAACTGCGGACATAACATTTATTTTAAATTTATATTTTTTGTAATATATCTTCAAAGTTTGTTACTATCGCTAATTATTATTATTTTGTTATCATATAACATGTAACTTTATATTTATAGCAAGAATAAATAGTTTTTAGTTAAAAACAAAAAAATACTTACACATAAGACAGTTTTGTTATTTCAATCCCGTAAGATCGAATATTCGAACCTCTTCGAAAACATAATCTAATAATTTTATCTGCTTTGTCTTTAGTAAATTTTTTAAGTTCAGTTTCTTGTGCATTTTGTGATTTTGAACATAATTGATATATATGTTTTAACAAAATCAATGCATTGGCTCTAACATTTTTGTCACGAGCATACGTTGTTCGAAGAATGAACTTCAAATTAGACACTTTGCAATAAGTTAGACTGAAACAAGATTTAAACAAACATGAAAAAATAGTTTTATATAATTTATATAACAATAACTATAAATAAATACAGAATCAAATTAGTCCTATATAATTGTAGCATAAGAAAAATTTGCAGAATATTTAATTCTTGATTAAAATGAAAATTGTTTAAATTGAAATATTAAATCTACATAAATGAGTGATATGAAACTTTAAACCAAACTGAATTATATTTACACTACGATTTATTTAAAATTATAAGATTGAAAATATAAAACAAATATTTCAAAAATATTATTAAACTAGTATTATTAAGATTTTATTTTTAAAATTGCTGATTACATTGAATAACTTGCAGTTTTATAAATTTTAAAATATAATGAAAAATACAGGAAAACACAAAGTTAACAGAATCAGCTAGTTAACGAAATCAAAACTATTAATATGTAGATAAATATTATTATATGTATACTGTCTATTTTTGAAAGGTACATATATATATATATATATATATATATGTACATTGGACATATATAAATACATTGTATATATGTGTATATATATATATATATATATATATATATATATATATATATAAATTATGACTAAATAAGGTTATTGTTAAGGTCTGATCGTGACACCAAAAAGTTTATATGAATTCCAAGTGTTATAATCTACGAATGCAATATAGTGGTAAATTGCAATTTAATACTTGAGATTATTGGTATAAACAATTATTCTATTATAAAATAATTACAAAACTTAATTTCAAATATATAATTATATAATTTATACTTTATTAGGAAAAAGAGTAAAAAACAAACTTTAAAACAAATTAAATAAAATATACAAATAACAACAAATTAAATATACAATTAGTTATAAACTTGTTTTTATCTTTGCAATAAATTTAGTGTACCACTTCATAAATGTTGTATGAACAGAAACGCTGATACATTAAAATTACAGAAATTTTTCCACTAACATCAAGAACTATAATAATGGAAAACATACCTAAATTTATCATAGATAAACCACCTTTTTATAGACAAGATATATAGTTTCAGAATATCCTTTGTTTCTATAGATTTCATATTGGGCTTGATAATAATTTCATAGATTTTGTTCATTCGCAGTCCTAATGTTTCTAATTCTGATGTTTCCATGTTCAGCAAATTATATCTTATCCTAGTCATTGGTGTATATATTGATAGGGCTACAGAAATATGATATGCATTTTATCAATAAAATATAAATTTTATCAAATTTAAAAAATGTTAACAACCTGTTATAACAGACAAAATTCGATGATTTTTGATGAAAGATTTGGACAACAGATCTAGAAAATAAATCATAATTTCCATAAAAAAAGAATCTAATATAACTTGGTCTCGTCCAATGATTACTATCTTTTTCAACATATTGCAATATTTTTCTTTGAATAATCCTCTTTTTGCATCTCCCAATAAATAAGGTTGATCCTTGAATTTGTAAAGAAGATGTAAATACTAATGCCTATATAAATACCTATAATTTTTGCATTGGATCACACATTATTTTCATGGCTTTATATTAAAATCGCAATTAAACTAAATCAATTTAGTTTACTTTCTTTCAAAAATTTAAATGCCTCAATCATTTGTAATATAAGTTTTTACAAAAAATATCATACATTTTTATATAAACGTTCCAAATCATTAATGGTACTACTCAAATGCCTCTGTATAAATGTTTCATCTTCAGGTATTTGTATTTTGTAATCATATCCTAAAGCAGAAACAAAACTTGAAATAATGCAGCAGTTGCACTATATTTACTCTCAAGATACCAATGGATCCAATGAACAGCTATTGTCTGCAAAAAAACTATTGATTAATTAATAAAACAAAAATATGCTTTGCATATTACTATAGTTCCAGAAGTTAATGAATATAAATGAGTTGTGGCATATTAGAGTATGATCGGGCAATCCATGGTGTAATGGTCAAGCTCTCAGACTCAGCGATGCCCAAAATATAGATCAAAGATATGTTTCAAATTGAAAATTGCCCATTTCGGGCACTGCGGTGTAAAATGACAATGGCATATCTCTCACATTATTTTTCCCTGATTTGAGTTGGTGTTTGAATCAGCTCAGGGCAGTACTACCCATTATTAAAGGTTCGTCTATTATTCCAATAATTAATTTTAAAAATATTATACGAGGTGTGTTCAAAAAGTACCCGGAATTACTAATAATTAAATTTCGCGGGTCTAGAGTGTCTGATTGTCAAAATTTTTTTTTTATTGTGTTGGTATACATGCCCCTAAAGTATGATGAAATTTTCAGCTATATTCACTGTTTACTTTGTCTGTGGTAGTCGCTAAGGTTCGACGTGTTTTTCTGAGCTCGGCGATTTTTACAATGGAAGAATTGAAAAGTCAAAGAATTTGTATTAAATTTTGCGTAAAAAATGAAATAAAGTGTTGCAAAGTGCAAAAATTCACCAGATATGGCTCCGTGTGACTTTTTCCTATTCCCAAAGTTGAAGAGACCCATGAAAGGACGGCGGTTTTCCTCGATTGAAGAAAATCGCTGAGAGTGCTCAAGGACATATCAAAAAGTGAATATCAAGGGTGCTTCGAAAATTGGAAAAAACGCTGGCATAAGTGTATTATATCTGGGGGGGACTACTTTGAAGGGGACCACATTAATTTTCCACATTAAACGAAAATTCCGGGTACTTTTTGAACAGACCTCGTATTTGTTAACCTGCAAACACAAAACTTTATACTTAATAGTAATATCACATACCCTTTCTATAGCTCTCTCATTTTTCAATAGTATAAACACAGCAAGCTGATTGTCATCGATATGTAAATGATCTGAAATATAATACAAAATTAGAATCTTTTGCTGCATTCAAACAGTAATGAAAAGATATATATATATATATATATATATATATATATATATATATATTAGAAATGAGCTTATATCCAAAGCCGGATCGGTTAGGATTTGACTCCGTTTCAGTGATGAGTTATATCCACTTAACAACTCCACAACTCCGACAACTTTGAAACATAATACTTGACACAAATGTGTTCTCTAGTGTGTTATTAACATATCTAAGGATTTATTACGACTTTGGAAATAGTTTACAAATAGTTCAAACATTTTTGTTTATTATAATAATTACTATTTTATGCATTTCAACATGCATACAAATCTCAAATTGACAAAAAACTATGGAATTAAAATCAATTTTGTAATTATATTTGAATATGTTTATTTTTACATGAAAATAATGCAGTGAACCCTTTATATGAAATAACAACAAATCTTTGTGTACAATATTTGTCAGAAAATAATAATACCTCACATTCTTTTATTATTTCCTTTTTGAGAATTAATTATATATCAGGTAGTTAGATGAACATAGTATTACTTTTACACAATTATAAAATAATTGCGTAAAAGTTATAATATAATACTAAATATTTTTTAGCTGGTTGTATACCATTGAAAAATCTTATTTACGGGCAAACATTATCGTATACAGAATATAGAATACAAAATAGCATTGTTTTGAAACATTATATACCTGGAAAGTCTTAAAACTGGCTGTGAAACGAGAAAAAGACTACTTTTTTCGAGCCAAATCTTTGTATTAGTAAAAAATCTCAAGCAAATATCTGCACATGTTAACAGATTTAGTATAAGTTTAGGGAAGTCGGATATGACAAATCTTGTGAGACAACTCCACTCGGATTCACCCTGAGAGAGAAGTTGTATCGGAGTGGCAACTCCGGAGTGAGTTATTCATTTCTAATATATATATATATATATATATATATATATAACTATCAAGATATATATATATATATATATATATATATATATATATATATGAAATTATATATTACCAACACTTCGTCTAGTATTTGGAAAATCCTCACTTGAATTTGTAGAATCATCTGTAAACATTTGTTGAATTTGTATTTTAATTTCAAACAAAAAGCATGTGAAAATATTTTATCAATAAAATAAAATATTTGGACTCGCATGAAGTAAACAATGAAATAATACAACATTGTAAATGCTTCACATTTGCACATTTATTGGAAAAAATATGTTTTGATGTGATATTTCAGAATTTGAATTAAAAATTTGGTATCAATATAACACAAAATTTAAAATTTTAAAAAATTTAAAAAATATATTGCAATTATTTAATTTTTAAATGACGTTTTCATTAACATAGTTTGAGATAATAAAAATGTAGCACTCACCCATGTTCTAATAAGTAGAATATATTTAAATTTATAGATATGAGAGTAACATTAAGCATAAATTCAAGTTTTTATAGCACTTTACAATTTGAGCATTGTAAAGGGCAATAAAAAGTAATTTTCACTCATAACATTTAATTATTGAGCTAACTATTGTGTCGAATTTACCCTTAAACCTTAAATTATTGTTACAACCCGTTACAACACTACTAAAATGCTATTATAATATTGTCTAGGAATGTGAAATTTAACATTAACTTTTGGATTTCACCATAACCTCAAATCTTTGACATTTGGCGTTCTTAAAAAAACGCGCAAAATTTAAAATATAAGTAGTAAATTGTGTTCTAAAAGTAGATTTATAACACAAAATTGTACTTGGAATATTTGATCAAATTTGATTAGGTTAGTATAGTCTAAAGTAAAATAATAAAAGTAGAATAATTTCAGAAAAGCTAAGCTAAAATAATGATTAAACATTTTTTAATGAATTTTTTACTTATATTTTAACATTTAGAAGAAATACATGAAAATGGCAAATAAATGAATATATTTAATAATATTGAAACCAGAATTAATCGTTTTACTCATCTTTGGTTCGTTGACCCCCAGTAACACAGCCTTTTAATTAAGTAAGAACTAAAATAACATAATAGTTATTAACGTAAAATGCAACTGTGCACATAGTTCAGACAAAATGACATGTAATACTAATAATAAATGGTAGTTTGCCCGAAGGCAGGTCCACTTACCATTACCACTATTTTCGTCCCCCCTATTTATCATGTATTTTCGTTTTCGAACTTCTGTTTCCATGCATCTTGATCCTGAGTCCTATTTTATTCTCGACGACGCCGTGCAGGAGGCTTTCTTTTAGCTGAAGGGGTTCGTTCCAGTTTCCTTATCTTTTCAGGTTTATGCTTAGTAGAGTCCTTCCTTTGCCCACTCTTCTCAGGACTTCTTCATTTGTTGTCTGTCCACTTTATCTTCTTCATCCGCCTCCAGTAGCACATTTCAAAACTTTCCATGTAGTTCTTGTCGGCCTTTCTTAGAGTCCATGTCTCCGATCCGTACAAAGCTATGCTCCATACGTAGCACTTTATTAGTCTCTTCCGCAAGTCAAGACTCAGTTTGCTCGTTAACAGCATTTGCTTCTTGTTCTGATATCTCTCATGCAGTATCCGTCTCTGGTCAGAATGCTTCCTAGATATATGAAATGATTCACTTCTGCCAATCTTCGATTTCTTACCGTTATCCTCAGAGGCTCATCTCTTTTTGTGATTCTCATCACTTTCGACTTGTCGATGTTGATTTCCATTACGTATCTTAAAATGGCATATAGGGTAAGGAGATACTGTAATACTTATTTTCAAGAACGTATTTCACAAGTTACAGTTATGATAGATTGGTCCTCTTTGGGACATCAGCACATGATCCATAAGTCCAAAGGAACAACCAACCATCTGATTATTGCAATAATATTGATCAAAATCACTAGTGTTGGCATAAATTAATTGATTTCAATAGAAATAATTACAAATAACAATAAGTAAAGACCCCAAAATCCATGAGAAAAACCTCAAAATAAATTTTTGATGTATATTAACACTGATTACTCACGCAGGACTGTGATAATGACGTACAACATCTGTTGTAAGAATTTAAATAGAACAACTATAAGATTGCTAGATGTAAGAGAAATTTTGCCTTAAGGCTAGTTAATCGATTTAAATTGAAATTGGGAATAAGCTATTTAGATTGAATTTCCAAATGTTTATTTCAAAAATAACCTTTTTGCTAAATTTTGATTAATAAAATTTTCATTTAAGTTTCAAGAATATATAATTATGATTATATTAATAATTGTGCACAAACATGTGCTCCTAAAACTAAGTCCGTTATTATCAATTAAATGAGTTTATATAGTTCAACCAATTTTTATAGGCCTTTAATATTGCATGGGGTTTGTTTGATACCTGAATTCTGTCTATATGTTAGATATCATTAAAACCACTGAACAAAATTAATTTTTCACAATTTAATTATAAAGAAACAGCCGATTCTAATCAGCGCGATTCACAAGTGATATCTTTCGAACAATTCTTAACTTCCTGTAAGGTAAGTTATAGTAATCGCAAAAAAATCTATAATGAAAATTTTCATATATATTTACGTTTCAAAAATTTTGGCATACTTTAGAAAAAATTGATGTATTTATGTGTGTATATATGCAGGGCCGGATTTAGAAATTTGGCGCCCTGGGGCACTGACAAAAATGCCGCCTCATCCCTGAAATTCCATTCCAGTTTCTATATATTTATCCCGTACCAAAAATTAAAATTAAAAAAAAATTTTTTTTTGAAAACTTAAAAAAAAATCAATTTTTGAAAATGTTTAGTATTTTTTATATTTTGAAATTTTTGGCAGCGCGATTGCTTTGAAAAAACTTTATAATTTCCATAAAATTTCAATATAGATATAAAAAAAAAGTTTT